AAAGGTGGTTACCAGCCAGTGGGTAAGGTCGATATTGCTGCAATTCGGAAGGAAGCTGCCGCATCCGGTCAGCTGACAGATGAGCGCCCGGCAATTATCAAGGGCTCTTATGAGCCCGTTGGCAAGGTTGACATTGCTGCTATTCGGGCTAGAGCACAGAAGCCGGAAGGCACCACTGACAACGTCCCATCGAGCACCGCAGTCAATCATCAGCCAACGACGTTGCCCGAGCGACCTCCGCCCTCTAATGCTTCCGAGCGCTTGACCACCCTGCCCAAGCCAAGGGTTGCCAACAAGTTTGGCTCTAGCCCCTCCTTCCCAGGAACAAAGCCACCCCTCCCAACTGGTCTTCAGCCTAAGCCAAGCTCGAGTGCGCAGATTGGAGCTGCAAGCCGAACTTTTGCCGATGAGGGAGGCAAGACACCTGCTCAAATTTGGGCAGAGCGCAAGGCCAAGGAGCGTGGAGTGGCTTCGTCATCTGGGAGCATCGAGACTGTCCCTACCCCTGCTCCGATTCAAAGCCAAACCAGTGGCCAGGGCGAGTGGAAGAGCTCCTATGCGGGCAAGTCCTGGGCTCCTGTTCAAACCGCACAGGAGAAAACAAATATTCCTGAGCAGCCTATTGATGCAAAGGCCAATGATCAACAAGAGGATCAACCACAACCCCATGTGAGTAGTATTCGTGAGCAATTCGCTCATGACACGCCTGCGCCTGCGCCCGCGGCACTCGCTCCTCCTGCTCCACCCGTTCCGCAGGCCAGTCGCCCTGTTCCTGTGCCGGGACTTTCATCTGGGCCCGTCGAGCCCGAGCCTGAGCATGATGCCCAGCAGGCTCTTCCTACTCCCCCAGCGCAGCCTCGCTCCCCGACACCTCCCTCTCCCCCGGTGCGTGAGAGCTCGCCGATCCAGGTTGCCATGCCGGTTGGCCACAGCGTTGCCAGTGTTGCTGATGTTCATGAGGAACAACATTCTCCTCCTCCTGCTATGCCTGTTCGTAGCCTCCAAGAGGTCGTTCCGGACGAAAGGGATATTGAGGACGATTCTCCCGACCTGGGTCGTGCTGCGGCCGAAGCAACCGCTCCTCAGCAGCCTGAGCAGCCCCAAGGCGGACCGCGAGCTCAGATCCAGTACGACTACGAAAAGGCCGAGGAAAATGAGATTGAATTGCGGGAGGGAGAGTACGTCACCGACATTGAAATGGTGGACCCGGATTGGTGGGTGGGTGTCAATAGTCAGGGTGAGCGTGGTCTCTTCCCAGCCAACTACGTCGAGCTTCTGGAAGACACAGAACCTGCGTCACACGCAACGGCCGGTTCCCACCACTATGCAACAGAGCCAGAGCCTGCTGCTGCCCCCGTTCCCGCCGCACCCACCCCTGTCGCTGCCGCTGCACCCTCGGCGGCTACTCCAAGCTCCAAAGGTGTCACGGCGACAGCTTTGTATGACTATGAAGCCGCCGAGGATAACGAGATCGGGTTCCCCGAAGACGCGAAGATTTCCAACGTGGTAAGTGCAACAATCCCTGTCTTTCTCGGCCTTAGCGCCATCGCTATCTACAGTGCTAACATGATCGAAGGAATTCCCGGATGATGACTGGTGGCTTGGTGAGTACAATGGGAAGCAAGGTCTATTCCCTGCCAACTACGTTCGCGTGGACGAGTGATTGGATCATACATAGATAATCCGACTCCAGCAATGCGACAAGAGGAAATTCAAATTCTACTGATTCGCCAAACTAGATGTGACCTGTGTATCCTTGATTCTTTTAGTATAAAATACCCAGTTCACTGCCAATTTCAATTCAAACCGAGTCAATAAAGCTCGTTCGAATGATACTTGTCTGTAGATTGACATCTGGCGCTTATCCTTTTCTACTCCTTTTGAATATGTACATATGTATGCATGTAATATGTGGATGTATCTATATAAAAGCCAACGAATCATCAACGTCATGACCGGAGTATTTGATTATGTCAGAATCACGTGTGCCGAAAAAGTGGCCATAAACAATGTTCCCAAGGTTCCAAGGAGAGCTTAGGCCTACAGGGATCCTGGTGACCATTTGCACGCGACCTCACTTTGCGTGTACTTTTTTCCAGTTCTTCCTCTTTTCTTAACTCCGAGCCCCAACTGTTACCTGTGCGTCCCCAGGAGCCTGCCTTCAGTTCGGCATCATGACATCGCTGGGCGAGGATCTCCTCGTGACAGTGAACAAGCTTCAGGACCTGGTCTTCAATACGATTGGGAATGATTCCTTGGATTTGCCCCAAATTGTGAGTCTGTCACAGAGAGTTCTCAGACGTTATGAGGCAGTTGTCATTTGATGCCGGGTCAGCTCAAGACTAATCACCACCTCTTAGGTTGTTGTCGGTTCCCAGTCTTCCGGAAAGTCTTCGGTGCTAGAGAATATAGTCGGAAGGGACTTTCTACCAAGAGGTAGCGGAATTGTCACCCGGCGGCCCCTAATCCTGCAACTTATCAACGTGCCCAGCGAACGTGATGATAAGCCGGAAACCGATGAGGTCCATATCCCACACACGGCTGCTAGTGTTGCCGGTCAACACGAATGGGCCGAATTCCACCACCTGCCGGGGCGCAAATTTGATGACTTTGGACAAGTGAAGCAAGAGATCGAAGCGGAAACGGCAAGGATCGCAGGAAGCAACAAGGGCATCAATAGACAACCGATCAATCTCAAGATCTTCTCGCCCCATGTGCTCAACCTCACACTCGTGGATCTGCCTGGACTGACGAAGGTGCCTATTGGTGACCAACCGTCCGACATTGAGAAACAAACACGCACCTTGATTCTGGAATATATCGCCAAACCGAACAGCATTATCCTTGCGGTGTCTCCGGCCAATGTCGATCTGGTCAATTCCGAGGCGCTGAAGCTTGCCCGCCAGGTGGATGCCATGGGCCGGAGGACGATTGGTGTTCTATCAAAGCTGGATCTCATGGACCATGGCACCAATGCGATGGACATCCTGTCTGGACGTGTGTATCCCCTGAAGCTTGGATTTATCGGTGTTGTCAACCGGTCTCAGCAGGATATCCAGTCTGGAAAATCGCTTTCCGATGCATTGCGGGCAGAGTCTGAGTTCTTCCGGCACCACCCAGCTTACAGGAACATGGCCAACCGTTGCGGTACACACTTTTTGGCTAAAACCCTGAACACAACCCTGATGTCTCACATTCGAGACAGGCTCCCGGATATCAAGGCTCGGCTGAACACCTTGATGGGTCAGACTCAGCAAGAGTTGGCCAGCTATGGAAACAAACAGTTCAGCGGCGAAGAACACCGGGGGTCACTGATTCTTCAGCAGATGACCAGATTCGCCGCCTCATTTATCTCATCTATCGACGGAACTTCATCGGAGATCTCTACCAAAGAGCTATGCGGTGGCGCAAGGATTTACTACATTTTCAACTCTGTTTTTGGAAACTCACTGGAAACGATTGATCCCACTCATAACCTGACTGTCTCCGACATCCGAACGGCCATCCGAAACTCGACAGGTCCTCGCCCCAGCCTGTTCGTCCCGGAGTTAGCATTTGATTTGCTGGTCAAACCACAGATTAAACTCCTTGAATCGCCCAGTCAGCGATGCGTGGAGTTGGTCTATGAGGAGCTTATCAAGATCTGCCACACATGCGGCAATCAAGAACTCCTGCGTTTCCCTCGTCTCCAAGGAAAGCTGATTGAGGTCGTATCTGACCTTCTTCGTGAGCGCTTGGGCCCTTGCTCGACGTATGTAGAATCTTTGATCTCAATCCAAAGAGCTTACATCAACACCAACCACCCGAATTTCCTCGGCGCCGCAGCTGCCATGTCTTCAATCATGCAGAACAAGCAAGACGAAGAAAGAAAAGCCGTGTTGGCAGAGGAAAAACGAAAGCGTGAGAAGCGACGTCAAAAGGAATTGGGAGCTCCCAATGGCAATACGGGAGGTCCCGACGAAGAAGAATATGCTGACAAGCAAAACCTCCCCATTCGAAGCCACTCCTCTAAGGGATCGCGGAGCCTCTCTCCTCATGTTGGCCGCACGGGCGAGAATGGCATTACTGCTACTCTGAATGGCGCTCAATCTAACCATGCTGCGTTCGGTGGTGGTGCCTCGAACACTGCCCGGGACTCGTTCCTGAACTACTTCTTCGGCAAGGAAGGTACTCACAATATGGCCATGCCACCGGCAGGCATGAACACCAACCGGCAGGGGCCACATGCAGGTGAGCCCAGCATTAGCCAGAGCATTCGGCGTGCCGAAGTCCGGGCACCAATTATGCCGACGGAGGAATACACTGCACCACCGGAGTATGGCGGTGACGTGTCTGTCTTCGTAAGTACCACTACGCAGGCGTTGTTAAGCTTTACATGCATCTGACTGACTTTAAATCTTATAGCCCCATGAGAACACGGAGCCTGCACTCACAGACCGTGAGATGCTCGAAACTGAGCTCATTCGCCGTCTCATCTCATCATACTTTAACATTGTCCGAGAGACCATTGCAGATCAGGTTCCCAAGGCTGTCATGCACCTCCTTGTCAACCACTGCAAGGACGTAGTGCAGAACAGACTCGTGAGCGAGCTTTATAAAGAAGATCTTTTCGGCGAGCTTCTTTACGAGGATGATGGCATCAAGGCAGAGAGAGAGAAGTGCGAGCGGCTATTGGAAACATACAAGGAAGCTGCCAAGATTGTGGGCGAGGTGTTATAGATGGTGCTCTGTTTTATTATTTTGGTCTGGCTCGGGGGTAGCCTAGGTGATCTTGATTCTGCGTCATGCTTGACGCCTTTCCACTCAAATGGTGTGGAAGATATTGCTTCTATGTCAATTTATGTACAACTATTGCGGCCTGCACATGATATCGATATATCTTTCGTTCTATTCGTGGCATCGGCAGCTCTTATAAATGCGACCAGCTGAAAACCGAGACATATAACTGCAAAAGAAACTCTGTCAAGATACGTAGATCAACACCCATATAATGTGCAACATCACTGGGCCTTTTTAGCAAGGCTTCGTAAACGCGCACCCTCGAAGCCATATAAACCACCCCCGACAAACACCAGAGTCGCGCCGACCAAGACACCCCCGGCCAAATGATTCCCGAAGAGGTAGATCGACAGGAGCAGCGAAACCAACTTGCGGACATTCAGGAAAATAGTAACAGTTAACGACGAGGACTTGGCCGACAGAAGATGAACTCCCCGGATACACAAGTACTGCGTCAGTGCATTCATCGCCAGGTAAGCTACCTGAACCGGCAGATGCGCCAGAAGAGCCTTCACGGCCTCAATCTGGCGAATCCGCCCCAGCACCGAGAAAGCAGTAGTCCCAACCGCACCGGACGACACCCACAAGCTGGAATCCAAATGCGACAGCAAAGAAGGCGACGAAGCCACCACGCGCCACTGACCTAGCAACTGCGTACAACTCGTCAAGAAAAGCGGCAGAGAAAGCGCATGCGAGTAGAAAAGCGCCTCTCTCCAATGGTCCCTACCGTAAGTCGCGTACAACCGGTCAGCATAGATCCCCTGGAACGCAGAGAGCACCATTGCGAGGGCGAGGATCGTGAAGCCCGTAACGGTCGTGACTGTGTCCGCCGCACCGGAGTTGACTTGGATAGACACGCCTTTGGATTGCGCGTCGGCAATGGCGGCTGCCGCGACGCCCACCGTCAGCATCCCTACCGAGGCGATTTGGCCACGGGAATAGCGTTTGCCGTTGTATAGGTAGCCAATTATCATTGAGGCGACGGGGCCTGCGGACCGGAGAATTATGTGTAGTGGGATGGAGATCTTGTATGCGAAAGCCCAGTTGTTGAGGAGGTTGACGCTCACGAAATAAGCGGTGTATACTACCCACGAACGTAGTGGGATGGCGCGGGGGTTCAGGAATAGGGCTCGTACTCCGGCTGAGGGGGATAGGAAGCTTGGGACTGTGAATAGCGCGCAGAGAGCAAATTGGGCGAATGTGATCAAGGGACCTGTGCGGGGAACCGGTTGGGTTAGGGATATGCGACGTGTTGTTTTAATTAGTTCTGGTTGTCGTGCTTACCGGCAGTAGGCTGTTCTCTGGAAAAGATATGGGATTAGCGTTGTGTTTTGGATTGGCCTCCAGGGCTAGTTCGTTGACTTACTTGATAATCGCCTCCAGCGCAAAGACCTGTACAGAATCAGTTCTTGTTTCCCCCTGATAGCAGCGCAGGAGGTTCTCTAGACACCCACATTGGCACAGCAGCCGCCGAAGATAAGAGAGACCATTAGAACCATGCTTGTCCAGCTAGGAACCGCCGCATGGGCGGCGGCAGCAACAAGGCTCGGGGCATCTTTCTTCAATTGAGCATAGTCAGGCTTGTCCTCAGATTTTCGAGACCGAGACGTGGGGTTTGAAGGGAGGTTCGGATTTCCATTCGATGTGTTCACATTGGAGACTCTGCGATTGATCAGGTAAGAGTCATCGTGTCCTCGTTTCGAGGGTTCATGATCATTTAACATTCTATTTGAGTGTGAGTGCTGATAGGGAGGAATTGCGTAGATGAATTACTTGCCTTTTAAGGATCGAAAGGGCTATGAGAGGCGAGGTGGTTAAAAGGAAGAAAGCTGGGGCTGAAGATAAGAGAGTGGATCACGAGATTGGGAGTACATATACGTACTGTATATAGGAACTAGACGTATACATACAGTATAACAGTCTATATTCTGTTTTCTTTTAAATATTTCATTCACTATGGTACACATATCTAGCAACATCACACTCAATCGACAATATCATCGTCACTGAGAATCAATTTCTCTTCAGGCAGTTGAGGTCCAAAACCATTACTGCTGGGTTGTTTCATACGCGATCCTTGTGCTGGAGACTCCTCCATGTCGTCAATTCCATCGTTACAAAAATTCTCGTTGGCGCGAATGCTGGTGATCTTATCCAACTGCCAATAATCCGGGCCCTGACGTCGGATTGCAGCCATATATGGCAGCTGATGGAGCAGTAAATCATGCCGGGGCATCATCGTGACCACACTCGGAGAGTTATCTTTATTCCCTGAATTGGCCGACGCCGACCTTCCACCCTGGAGATTTTTCCAGGAACTGACCCCCGTGAGGTCAGAGCCATTTTGATAAAGATGCTGCTGTCCAAAAGGATCCAGTGATCGGTTCATCCATGAGTCGATCAGTCCATCAATTTCTTCAGCCTCTCTCCACAATCGCAGAGATGCTGGGTAAAACATCTTGTAGGCATCACCCGCGCGGCTTCGGTCAGTTCCAGGCCCAACCCGTCTCTTGACCGGGTATGGAAGGGCGAAAAGAAGACCACGCGCCGCAACTTGGAAACTCATTTCCTCCTGCCGGAGCACGTCGATGCCACTACCGAAAGAGCTGATTCCAGTTCCTATCCCGGCCCGTGCCCCTTGCCCTGGTCGGCGATCGGCGCTGAGGATATCGCTATCGGAGAGGGCGTCGATGCAGTCGTTGAGACAGTCGGTGAAATTATCCCCATCGCAGGATGGGATGTAGTTTTCATGGAGAGCACTGATAAACGTCGATATGTCAGTCCCGGTCTCGTCGACCAGATCATTGACCAAGACCGATGAAGCTTTTGGTCGGGCGTAGTGGCGCAGATAGTCCGGCGGCGGTGGAAGAATCTCGACGTCGCCCTCGATCAGACTCGGGTCCATGCGTTTGTTGTACACAATCTTCCCAACGGCGTGGAACATGCCCAAGCTCGCCTCTCTCTGAGTTATCATCTTGAGAGACTCTTTCTCCATCGCTGTCAAAGCAACCTCGCCTCGAGCTTTCTTTGTCTTGGCCACACTGCCTCCCCATCTCCCTGTATCGTCCCCCTTGAGACAGAGGAACTCGAGAGAGGAGATTGCACTGCGGATATCGCCAATTTCAGAGATACTGTCTATAACACCCGGCCCGGGTATCTGGACACGCCCGGAAGTACGCGCCTCTCTGTCCAAAATAGACCGCAAAGCCTTGTGCATAAAAGTAGGTGCAATGCTATTGAAATCCAATATCGTTGTCCCGGGGTGGTTGTAGATGGTGGGCCCCAGTAACCGGTGAACTGTCAGGTTATCCGAGATCGAGGACGCAGATCCCAACAATGTCTCCGATACGATAATAACGATGGGCGGATGATTCGATCCTGATCTGTCCTGGGTATGATTATTCGCAGAGGCAGCCAAATATCGTTGAAGAGACGCCCTAAACGCCGTGAGAGCGGAGGACGCCCGGCCAAGCATCGCTGGAAACTCCTCTATAAGAAGTATCCGCTGGTCCCGAGGTTTCTCATCTTTCCGGGAATCGAGCTCGCTGGCATTTTCAAGGTCAAGTCCTCCAAACTTATTCCCCCGTCCAAGAAACTCTTCAAAGTGTGCGCTCACAGATTGATAGTCGCGAGCTCCAAATTCCGAAATCGGGGGATTCTTCCACTCAACAATGTCGTAGCCAAGTGACTCGGAGAGCAGGGACACAGTGGTCGTCTTCCCACTGCCTGCCGGACCTCGTAGGACCAGCAACCTCTGCATATTGTCAGAACTACAAACCCAAACCCCGAATTATCCTCGGCTGATCGAAAACTCACCTCAGAACGCCTCCCAGAAAATGCGTCTTCCAGCCAACGCTGTACATCCGAGACTTTCTTCTTATGGACGGCCAATTCGCCCAGGTTGGCCGGAGCGAACCGCTGAGCCCATGGTCGACGGTCTGGTTTGCCAGCCGGTTGCGTAACTAATGGCTCCTTCGCTGTGTCATTCCCATAGTGTGTAGACAGAAGAAACCGCTTCGTCGGCTTTCGCAGTGGTTTGACTGGGGCCTTTGCCTTTGGCTTTGATGCTGGCTGACGTGTCTGGCTCGAGCTCACGGCTGTCAGGCTCTTTCCCGCTTGCTCATTAGCTACATGTTGTGTGAATATATCATCGTAGGAGTCGTAGTCATCCTCAATCAGGTCCACGTCGACAGTCTCCCTGACCGGAGGGAGGGACTGCTTCTCGGTCTTTTGTGGTGCCCATCGCTGTCCCTCTGTTGCGGGCTGGAAGAAGCTGTGGAGGGACTTGGATTTTGAGTCTGGGTTTGGTGACGATTTGGTCTTTTTTCTTGGAGAGGGCGAGGACGAGGGGAGCCGGGTTAATGGTGTTGTGCCGCGCGAGTAAGAGGGTTTTGGGCGTGAGGAGAGGGCGAAGGGTTCTGTTTGTTCGATAGGACTGGAGCTATCTGATATGACGGCTTTTCGTTTTGATCTTATTTTTTCATCTTTCGAATCCTTAGATCTTCGTTGTCTTTTAGGAGGACGACCGTCCATGATGAGTTGGTCAAAATCCTGGAGAAGTTGAGATACGCGCCCGATAAGCTTATGACGCCAAGCGGTGGGCCTTTTGCCGGATTTATAGTAGACGAGATGAACATATGTAGATAGGGATACAGACGTAGATGTGGATGTTAATATTACATTATATCTGTTAGAATAATTACATCCATAAAGACAAATCGCACAACGGGTATATTGACCAGAATCTGAGTCGGCAGAGCCAAAGAAATCCCCAACCAGAAAAGAGAAAAGAGAAAAGACATATATAGAGGAAGGTACTCCCTACGCGCCTCCGAATACATCATAGTAATAATCTTCATCCAAGCCATCTCTCGCGGGGACCTTGGGAGCCTCACCGGCGAAAGTGGCATCGTCAAACCGCACATTAAGCAGGCGGATTTTCAAGCCATAGTTGCTGACCAGGTCAATCAGCTTGCTTGTCTCTGCGGTGATGGGCTGCTGGTTGAGGAGCATCAGCAGACCATCCAGCCATTCGGACGCAATGCTGTGCGAGGAGGGCCGGAGCGTGAGCAGCACCACCTCCTTTTGAGTGGTCCTGCTGCCGGACCGGGCGTGGCTGTGGCCCTTTCCGTGTCCGGTGGCTGTGGAGGGCGCGTAGCCGTGGATGGTGATCTTGGTCGTGGGTTGACGGGGTGCAGTCTTCACGGTGGCTGTGGAGGAATGATCTGGGTTAGTGGAGACGTTGGAGACTACGGATGATACGATTGAGAGATCGACTATCAAGGGCACGGCCCGGTGTTAGCAGCAAATACAAGATGTGTGTGGTTACAGGTAAGCACTCAGTGACACTCACTTTTCTCTGGTAGGGTGTCCAACTCTGGAGCTCGGTCGCCCATTAGGTCAAATTGACCGAAATGCAAGTATCGTCGGTTATGAGAGAGCTGGGCATATTGATACGTAGCAGTAGACTTCTGCACCGGCCCCATCTCCGACTTGGAGTGAGAGTCTAGAGCGAACCAGCTACCTTGGAGCAAAGATCGGATTCGTTGCTCCTTTACAAACTGGAGAGCCTCATGGTGAAGTTCCTCGCGCACCTGCCGCAAGTGCTGGCCCCATGCATCCTCGTACGTGAGTTCAAGGAGTTCCATCTGCAGCCCGCGCAATCGGTGGTATTCGAAATCGGCCAGTTCTTCTTCGACATCCTGGACATCCTTGATCCGAGCGGCTCCACCAACCACCGACTCAATGAGGATGCGCACGAGCTCGACGAGCTTGTCTAAGTCCTCTTCCTCGGCAGCAGTCGCCTTCCACAGGCGGAAGAAGGCCTGCAAGCCGGCAACATGTAATCGGGTCCAATGTAACAGCAACGGCTGGAAGAGTTTATCAAATCCCGTACGGGACTCCGAAATGAGATATGTTTTGTTGTCATCCATGTCGGACTTTTCGACCTCGAAATGCTCGTATAAAATGGATGTGACGGCCAACGATGCCCGAGCAATCGGACAGCGTTGTCGTGATGGCTTTGTAGAGTGCTCCAAGAGCATGTTCTGAAACTCATCCCCATGACTGCGAACATAGTCCGCCAGGTCCATCATACCCAGGAAACCGACTTCATAGAATTCTCCCGCTGGACTCTCCGTCTCAAATCCAAGCCGCCTCCACTTCTCCGGATGGTGTCGTCTAGAGCGCCGTGTATCATCACCGTTCTCGTTAGCCTCGTCGGAGTTCTTCTCCGGGTTACTGGCCAAATAAATTCCCTTCAGCGCGCGGCGATGCTCAGGCTTCTCCTGGTTGACGGGGATATCTCGCCATTTGCGGAGCAGGACCTTGGTGAGTGACTGGAATTCCAGCAGCGGATGCGCCAGGTCTTGGAGGGCGGAATCCTGCATAAGCACGTAGACCGCTCTGATAACACCCAGGTCCTGTAACTTTTGAATGAACTTGGGCCACTCCGCCTCGGGGTCGTGGGTGATCGAGTCGCGCATGAGCGAGTTGATCAATTGGAGCGCATTGGCACAGAGCGCATGGTCCGCGGAGGATAATCGACTGACGAGCATCTCCAGAAACTGGGGGTATATGGCGATTGCAGGCTTCAGGGCGCGGAAACCAAAGTTGTTGACCTGGGAGGCGCGGTTCCCCGTGTACGGGTGGGAAACAATCGAGACGAGAATGGACATGGCGCCGCGGAGGATGTTGACTAAGGGATGAGTGACGATCAGCTCAACAGTCTAGAGGGCAGTCGCATTAGCATCTGACATGGCCGCGGAAAGGAGACAGAAACACTGGTAAAGAGCACTGCAATGGTTTCATGGATAACTCACGCGCTCAACCAACTCCTGGTCAACACACTCCCACCCCTTGTCGACATCGAGCAGCCTCGAGAAACTGGTCAAACTATATGCCAGGGTATTCCCGCTCGCGTGAAGGGTTAGGTAGCGTAATCGAAGTAGGCCGCCCTCTGCGATGAAGATGTCGGCGAAGGACGGGTCTCCGATGTTGCCCTGGAGCTTGAAGACGGCCATTTTGCGCACGGCATCTTCATCGCTACCCAGGCGCTCGACCAATTCGGCGACATTGACGGTTTCCATGTCTTTGAAGCCAGTAAGAATGAGAAGTTCAAGGAGAGAAAGAGATCAGGGGGAACTGTGGGGCAATTGGAATTTAGACGGTGATCTCGGTGATCTTGATCCTTTTACGGAGTAATTTAGCATATGAATAGATTAGATATTTCAATATTCCACATATATCAAGATGTTGTAGATTGGGAGGAACCAGAAGGAACCAGGAACTAAATAGATTCTTTCGTCGTCAACCCCCTACATTTTGTACACCAACCTCGCAATTTCCCCAGTGCGGATGTATACATTACAAGGGCTATCTACATATGTAGTTATATAGCTATCTATATAGCTGGAATGCCAATGTAATTGTTTCAATATGTGTTATTTTTATGCATTATGTCATTACATGATCCCTAACAATCAATCCTAGGTGATTCTATACAAAACAAGCCCCGTCGAATCAATAACAATCTCATGTTTCCCCCCAAAACGCCACAGGGTGTAACCTGTTTGCTTTTTTCCCATTATGTACGACGGCATAGCCGTCATCGTCAGTCATGAAGATTGCAGAGTGCGGTAATCAAGATTAGCGGCGCCAGCCCACATTCCAAATCACATGGGCTATGTCCCGGGCCGTGTTAACAGTGTCCACAACCCGGTCCAAGATACTACTACTGGGGGTCTCAGACTCGCCTTCCGGCATGATCATGCCCGAAGCAGTCAATCGGAGCGGGCGATCTGATGCTGGATCATCTTCGATGAACCATGCGCGATCACGATCGGGGTAATTGCCCGTGAAATCCAGGCTAGGATCTTCACATTCATCCAAAAGGAAGTTGGCCGTGGACTCTGATGGCCCTGACGGACGTAGGGTCTCCACGGAGGGAGTTGGTGATAATGTCCGGGTCGGGGCGGACCATCGGCCAAGGATAGTCTGAGCGTGGAGCTCGGGGGGGTCCCCACGATACTTGAGCGTGGTTGAGGGGAGAGGGGCGATGGTTTTCCCATCGCTGGGGCTGTGGCGTGGGGTGCTGCGGTTGCTCAGGGAGGACCGGCTGGAGATTTGTCTCATCAAGACAACGCCGTCGTCGGAACATGCCTCTTCTTCAAAGGTGGCCGGCCAATCGTCCTCGTAGCCCTTGGCTTCAACTGCAATGCATTGTACGACTTCATTGTTGAAGTGGATATGGCGCCGTTCGCTTGGAGATGTCATTCCAGACGATGATGAGGTAGTCAGTGTGCCACCGAGAGAGTAGGTCGAACTTCCAGTCCGGTGATGCAAGTGGTCCAGGTCTGTGTTAGACCTTGGGAAAGGAGGTCGAGCCCAGTTGTTCTCAGCTTCTTGAGCCTTGAGAATGGCCCCGGCATGTTGGAGTAACGTATGTTGAGATAGTGACCGCTGTAGGATGGCCTCGGATGCAGTCTTCTTCTTCAGGATCGGCTTTCGGTCTAGATAAGAGTTTGGTGTCTCCAAGCGACTCGGAGGGGGAGATGGAGAGGTTGTACGTTCGACGGAACTTTTTAATGGCCCATAGAGCCAGGTGACATCGCAGTCCTTCAGCCTGGTAAAAAGGTGAGCAGGGCGAACGAAAGATGAAAAGATCAATGAGATCAATAACCTACCAATTCAGGCTTTCCGGTGATATCGTCTTCAGATTGTGCTTGGCCTTGGCCCATGTCCTCCAAGAGGCATTCTCCAGTCTCACTCCATTACTATAATCGTTCCTCCGACTCGTCACATAACGCCAGGAGGACCAGATATCCTCCTCCTTCCAGTCATGTGAAAGGTAGTCCACATGTCTGGATGGCTCATCCTCAATTAAGGTGTCATCTGCCGATGGAGCCTGTAACGTCCACGAAGGTGTGTGTGATTCTGTCGACGCGTCACTCACATCCTCTGGTTCTTTGGGATTATGAAGGGATTCTGTGTCATAGGAGGGTAGGACGAGTTCGTTTTCCGGTGACAGGCTATTTAGAGTGGACGCGTAGGCGAGTTGCTCGGGGATATGAGTGAAGCCCGGGGAAGGGAGCGCAGAGGGTCGATTTGATGCGACTGGGGAGGAATCCCTCGCGCGATAGTCATCTTGCATGGGTGATTTTCTGGGGATAGCGTGATCTTCCAAGAAATATCGCTGCGCAGTGGGACCAGTGGCACACCGTAGAGGATCTGAGAAGGGCGAATGGGTTTCGCGGGGACTCAACAACGTCGTCATTTCCCTTTTCTTTTCAATGATGTAATTAATGACAAGGGAATAACGAGACAATGGCCATTCAAAGATATAGCATTATCCAGGTGATTGCTGATAATATAAGGACGAAGAAGGGGAGAAGAGAAGAAGGGGAAAAAGAGAGAGAAGAGGTGGAAGAGGAAGAAGAAGTCCAAGATAACCAAAATCTGGAGGTGGAGATATGACCGTTCCCAGATTCTGGGGGGTCTGGGGGGGGGGTTAAAGGGAGGAAAAAGCAAATAATAAGTTTATAACTATTCACAAAGATCGAGTTATATAAAAGATAATCAATTTATTATATTTATTTATATTTATTATATATTAAATTGAAGTTGCCACAAGAATTAATCTATTCTGTCTACGGAGTCGTTCTAGTATTAGTCTTGGGTCTAGGTCTAGGTCTAGTAACTAGTATAACTAGCAAGTCGACTAGCTAGTATTACTATTATAATACTATTATAGTATTAAAATACACAAAATAATAATAAAATACTAAATCTTCTAGACCGATAAACGGTTCTTCTCCACCGGATATGCAAGTAGTCTTTTAGTGGGATGTAGGTTGTATGCGTCTTTGTATAACTGTCGATCCTGTGGAGCACAGATACAATAAGAGTATACAATATGACATTCTAGAGAGTATCAGGATATTCTATACCCTGTGTAGTAGGAAAAAAAAAGGAATTGTTCACATAGAAATACCTATAATACCTATAAATACTATAAACTACTATCTACAATCGCCATAATCGCCATCGGAGTATCACGGAGCCACCCGGCCTAGAGCCTGTAGCCCGATGCATCCGCAGGGCCTGAGCACGTCTAGTTTCGAAGAGAGTCAAGAGAGTATCAGACCCCCTTTGATCCACTTCAGTTTGGACTGATTTTTTGATATATTTTTTGACCTCCAAATCACAGGCAGTACTAGCCGAGGCACTGGCCTTTCTAGAATCCTGTACATAGTACAGTAACACATAGAACCAGAGGACCCTGTTGGCCGTCAACCCAGATATCAAAGGAAATGTTAGCCATGATCGACCGGAGATGCGAGCCGAAGCTAAAAGCACATACATGAATGCCTTTTGAAGGGTTTATAAAAGATAGGGTCCCAGTGGTGGATACATTTTAGCTTCAGCCATTGACATCTTCGACTTTTTCGAGATGCTATCTCAAATTCCCAATTTCCATCCAATTCCTAACTTAACATTCAAGTGTCGTACACATGCACGGACAGGTCGAGAATATGCAAGATAGAGCTAAACAGCGCCAAACATGACACAGGAAAAGAAAAAAAGGAGAATCAAAAAGGGCGTACAATTGCCCTTGTCTGTGCGCTTGCATCGACACTATCTGGGCAATCATCCAAGCACTGTCATAATTGGCTAAAACCCTCGACATTGGTTCTTAGGAGACGCCATTGTTGATGCAAATCGCAAGCCAGTGATAACCGCCCATCGCTGCATGCTACCGTCAAGTATTGTGTTCAGACCCTTTAAACCCTGGAATTGGAATTGGAAACCTGAAACTCTGTCTATATACCCAGCCTATTCCTACGACATTGTAAGTTCCCATGTTCTGGCCCATACCCCCACCTCTCCGCGGAGGCTTGATCTGTAGCGCTAGTGCGATGCGCACCCCGGTCTCTCCTCACGGGCCTCTTAACGTTTGTCATATTCGACGATCATTGGCGACAGTATCAGTCAAGGATACCTTCTCTGCAATGCTTCTGACGCATGTCGCCAACACTCACATCCACAGGGGCAACGTAACCACTTCACTAGCTTCGCTTCCAAGCCTCTTGATAATGCAGGTAGCTGACGGAGACCGGTTTTGACACCCCCACGGGCTGCAAAATGCGAGACAAGACAGGGGTTTCAAGATTGCAATTGACATTGACTCTCTTATCAGCCATTTGCGGATCTATCGTCAACCGATGCACCAATTGGCGCGCCTGGCCCCCTATCGTGATTGTGGCAGCTGCAGTTAAACGGCTCATATAGAGGGGTTTTTTTGCACCACCCCAACTTCCCAGTTTCAGTCAACCGGGGGATAAGGGATATGGGCCCTCCATGTGAGATTGGACCCATCGCACAGCTGTCAAAGGAGAGATTGGCAAAGATATGCAATGTCGTGCTGATGAGTGACATTGGTCTAATCTGGACTTTGGTGTGAGATAAAAAAAAATCCATTCTTGAGTATGTATGTAAGATGGTCCCATAATGAGAAATTAAGCACCCCTTTTGACTTAGTCCGCTTAAAGCAGAGGAGACAATCAAGGTCATTGCACGTGATAATCGCAAACTGGGTTAGCTGGCAGAACTGCCCCTCCGCCCCCGCTGATTCTGATAGAGAAGAACAAGTCTAGACCGATACCATTTACCAAGGTACTATTTTCATACATCATGGCTGAGGCAGAAACAGCCCCAGTTGTACAGGCAAGGCAGGTTGTCTACTGTGGAGGTGAGGACCCCCGTGGCACAACTCCAATTCGTTTGATATAGCGCTGACGGAATCGATGATAGTCTGCACATTACCCCCCGAGGTATGATCTTCGAGTTTCCCCCCAAGCCCCCAGTCCTCAGTCCTCAAGAAGTGAAGGGCCCTGTCCTTTTCCCCGCTCTTGCCCCTGGTTCTTAGCTCTTATCATCGAGGCCCCGGCTTCGTGCGTGGCATAGCTCCTAGCCACTAGAAAGCGCCCACACGGCCTGCATTAAATGCTATTTGAATTATAACTTCCATTGGCGATCCCATATGTTTCTGACGTGCGGGGTTCTTGTCTAGTACTGCGAGTTTGGAGGTACCGCTAAGAAATGCGAAGAATGGCTCAAGGAGAACCAGTCGGATCTGTGGGACAAACTATACTCTGAAGGTATGAAGCTCCATTGCTACTTGGCTGGCCACTACCTGCATCTGGAAATCCACAAGCCCGGAATGAGAAATACTGATAATCTAACACTGGCTTTCTTTCTATCAGATGCCCTGAACGCCAACCTCTCCACCCTCTCCGTCTCAGCGCAAGAACGTGCCGCCAAAGATGCCGCTAAAAAGGAGGCCAAAGCTGCCGCCAACGAGGCACGCGATAGCGAGCGCAAGGCTGCCTCCAAGGTTCAGATCAAACGTGTCGAGCGGAACAAGCGCAAGTTCGTGACGGTCGTGATCGGACTGGAGGTTTTCGGACTGGAGAACAAGAAGATCGCAAAAGACCTCGGCAAGAAGTTTGCTACAGGTTCTTCGGTAACTCGCTCGCCTGCGGGTATTGAGGAAATCACCGTCCAGGGTGATGTCAGTGATGACCTGCGTGAATGGCTCCTTGAAATCCACGGCAAGAAGATCCCCGCGTCCAACATCGAATTGATTGAAGACAAGAAGAAGAAGAAGAGCGAGGGCCCGATGGTATAATGAGGAATACTAATCCTTTGGAGGCTGGGTATCATGACATGAATCTAAAATAAAAGTACAAATTGAAGACAATCCAAGCACAAACCAGAAACGCGTGGAAGCACAAGCTAAGTCGGATCGGGGAATTGGTCTAAGTCAAGGGCCCGGGGCACAAAAAAAGAAACATTTCATAATTCGCCCAGCACACTCAGTGCATCATGTTCCGCACGTGCTGCATCATGCCCTGATCGGACCGTTGAAGTCGGACCAGCCTTGTCCAGGCTCTCGCGACGATCTGCAAGGTTGGACGGGTATCGAGCGGGCCCTGCGTCAGACCCTGAACCTCTTCCCGCGAGACCAATGACCTCGTCCCATGCTTCGGACTGAGGTGGCACAGAGGGGGAAGAGTGATTCGACGCTGTCAAAGGTGACGTCTCAGCATGGGCAGACCAGAACTGTGGCCAGCTCCGGAGGACCAGAGCAAGTACAAGCACCAACAGCGCACTTATGACAATGCCCCAGAAGATGCGCAGTCGACGACTAGTCCGGGTTTGCCATTCTGTTTCCCGCTGTTCCCAGCTATCGATCTCGTGTCGTACGGTCTCGAGTCGTTTGCCTAGTTCTTCGACGCGCTGTCGGCCTGCTTTCATGCGTTGTTCTAACGCGCTGGCCTTTTGGATCTGTGGCTCGAAGCCTTTTAGGTCATTGAGTTGTTTGCGGATATCCTGGTCTAAGTTGGCTGTTTCGCGGTCGAAGTCGTTGAGAAGTGTTGATGCCGAGTCGGAGAGTTCCTGGAACGATGAGATAGTCGAGTTGAGCGCTGTGATTTTCTCAAGCAGATTGTAATAGGTGTAATCCAGCCGACGGGTGACGTCTGTCGCTAACGTCCCAATTGAAGTCAATGCAGACCGTAGATACCTTGAAATGGCCGCTAGTCAATTCCATGCGCCAAAGAAGCTAAAAAGAAGGAAAAACATACTCCTCGCCTAGCTTCCTCCGCTTCTTAACCTTCTCCAGGTCATTCATAGACAGAATCTCATGCCGGCGGATAGGCGCCAATTGCTCATGCTGCCCAGGCGAATCAAGCAGATTCCCCTTTCGACCATCAGACATAGCAGTAGTCGACTCAGACCCCCAGCGACTGCGGGTCGTCTCTCTCGTAACCGGCCTCAACAGCCCATCATCGCCATCGCGGTCCTTATCCTTCCCTCCCGACCACGTAGGGAGCAATCCCCTCGCGCTTGCCGAGGAAGCTAGGTGGCTCATGGGATTAGGGAAGCGCAGGTCCCGTGACTTGCTGTATTTGTGGCGGTTGGACCTCAAGCTATCGAACGTGGATGGCTCTTGCGGCCGAGGGGATGGGGATGGACCGATTCGATGCTCTCCTTTGGGGGAAATTTGGCGGTCATCGGAGCCATGCCGGCGCGAGCGGCGGGACTTTCTTCGGTCGCTCTGGCGGCTTTCTTGGCTGCTGAATCTGGAGAAGTCCTCGGATTTGGACTGGAGGTCGCTGGTTTGCTGGTTTTGGTTCTGGCTCCGAGTCGGGGTTTGGATGGATGGGAATGTGGCGGAGGCTGCTCGGGATGTTGAGAATGGTGCGTGTTTATATGGAGGTTCCATGGCGGTACATCCTGAGAAGAAAGCTTGGGGAAGCTGGAGAAGCCTGGAGGCTTGGTGTTGCGGTTGGAGTGTGGAGTTGGGAGGTATCGATGACGCCAAGCCTGAAGACCGATCAGCGACTCTGCCGCTGATAGTATCAGTCCTTCCTACTACCTATACTGTGCTAGAAAGAACGATTATACTAGAGAATAGATTCCGACTATATAAAAACATTTGTCTTGCTCGCTAGTAGTGACCTATGACCTAACCTCAGAAAAAACGCCTGTAATCGAACAGCCCACGCCGGAATGAGTGCCCAGTCTTTCCCGCCAGGGACAAGGAAGAAGGAAGAAGCCTCAACAAGCTGATGTATATACGCACAATGCAGTCTGGAGGAGATGGAGAGATGGTATGGCGGAGATATAGAGAAGATCGCGAACAGCCTCAAGAGCTTAGCAGCTTGTTGCGCTTCTCTCTGCGCTTGAGACGGTCGAGTCTCTTGTGGTGCATCTTCTCAGCCATCTTCTCGTAACGCAGCTTCTCCTCCTTGGCTTCTCGGCGGTCCTTGATGCGCTGGATACGGGCCTGGAAAGGTCCATCGGTCAGTGATACCATCTTGGGAAAGAGATGCGTGGTCGAAAATAATATCATTATTATGGAGACAGGTTGACAAGAGATGGAGACCAGACAAAGACACAAAAGGATAGGGAAGTGAGACAAATCAGGAGAGAAAAGGAATAAGATCGACATACCTTCCGTTCAGCCTCCTGCTCCTCCTTCATCTCACGTTCAAGTTCCTTGACAGCATCGCTGTGCTTCTTGAGCTCCTGACGCTTAGCGTATGAGGTCAAACCCGCAGTAGGGCGGAAAGCCTTCTTGGTGCCATGCCAGTTTTTACCTAAAGGCCGATGGGGTTAGCCGGGGAGATGAGGAACAGTAGGGAAGTGGGGGCTAGGCATTATTCTTCTTTTCTGACTTACCATTTTTCCGCATGCCGGTCGGAGGCGCGACTGGTGTAGCCGTTGAAGTAGACATGATAGGTGACTTGGAGAAAAAGTGATTCCGGGAAGATTCAAGAATGTGGATTGGGGGGAAGGACCGTGAAGCAAAAGAGATGTCGAGGCAAAACGGAGACCGAGTTTTTCTCATTGATTATCTCGATCTGATAAAATATCTTGGCGTCCGCTAAAGTGAGAAAATGCTTCGGCCCAAATTTCCTGACTCCACCTTTTTCCCACTTTGCACTCGTTGACTTTCCTCTCACAGGCTGTTTTATATTATTTTACCCATCTTCCCTCCTGATTTTGGTCTATCCTCGTCTCTTTCTCCTCGGTCGCTTCTGCACGGTGGCTTGGCACCCTGTAGGCCCATCAAATCCCTCGTTACACCGCCCCTCCCCCCACAGTCCATTTCACTCACTACTTATACCTCTGATTCCCCGTCTTACCATGATCCCTCGATAACACTCTTTTACCTTGTCATTTTCCCCGATCTTACTTGATGGCGGTAGAGCATGCGATCATCAGTGAACCGATGGAGCTGCCATCGCTCCCGCCCAATCAGGGCCTTGAGGCGATGAAGGATATCATATTTGGATCGGTAAGGAAGTCCTTGGCACATGCATGTGAGAGATTTGGACTGACACCTTCCAAAAGTCGGCAGGAATGGCAGGCAAACTCATCGAATACCCCTTTGACACCGTCAAGGTCCGACTACAATCACAACCCGAACACCTCCCTCTCCGATATGCAGGACCACTGGATTGTTTCCGCCAGTCTTTCCGAGCCGATGGCTTCCGGGGGCTATACAGAGGCATCAGTGCCCCCATGACTGGAGCTGCGGTGGAGACCAGCTGTCTCTTCTTTAGTTATCGTCTCATCCAGGATGCCCTGCGCGCGACGATCTACCCAGGCGTTGAACACCTGCCATTCTTCGCTCTCGTTGCTAGTGGGGCTCTATCCGGCTCGGTCACCTCGCTGGCACTTACACCGATTGAACTGGTGAAGTGCAGGATGCAGGTCCCCGTGGAGGCAGCAGGCCTCAAACCCGCTGGCCCCATGACCATCGTTGCAGGCATTTTCCGACATCAAGGGCTGGCAGGATTCTGGCGGGGCCAGATGGGAACCTTGATCCGGGAAACTGGCGGGAGCGCAGCGTGGTTCGGCGGATACGAGGGCGTGACATCGCTCTTCCGCAAGTATAACAAGTCGGACCCGCAATTGACCTCCGACTCGCTCCCCATCTACCAGCAAATGATCGCAGGAGCAACGGCTGGAATCAGCTACAACTTCCTGTTCTACCCGGCCGACACAATCAAGTCGCGCATGCAGACTGTGGACGTCTCACAACTTCCGGTCAATGCTCAGCAACAGACCTTCTGGGGTGAGACCAAGGCTCTATGGAGGCAGCAAGGGCTCAAGGGCATGTACCGCGGGTGCGGGATCACCTGCGCGCGCTCGGCGCCCAGTTCAGCCTTCATTTTCACTGTTTATGAAGGATTACGGCAATATTTTGGATGAAAAGAAAAAAGAGAGACTGCTACAATTCCCCTGCATATAGAAATTTGTCACCATTTTATCGGGTCTAACTGAAGTCAGACGATAACCATGTTGACCCCGATTTCCCTTTCGAATTTTTCACTATCTGACTCTTTGAATTTTTGGCATCGTGCGCTATACCCCGAACACATTCAAACACGATTCTTGACTCTTCTACGCTTTCACTTTTACCTCTCCTTCTCGATCAACAATCTCCAATTCCCAACCCATCAGTTATCTATCTCGAAAATCAAGCGCCGTTCAACGTTTTCCGGCGAGGTTATCCTTGCTCGATTTCTGAGGCGTCGAATCGAAACGGGGCTTGGCTGTCCTGATGTACGCCAGGCCAAGCATCTCCAGCCCAGTTGATTATATCTCATCTATGGCACTCCCTGGCGGATCCCTCACATGTCAATCGAGGCTAAAGGCGTTAACCACTCCTTATTCGAATACGTTGAACGGTATTTAATCTGAGCTTTTTTGTCAACTCGGCTTGTTTTGTTTTTCTTCCCTTGTATAGAATATAGAATTCAGATATTGCAAATAAAACTTCCAGTCCAATGCTTACCACTTCGAACCTGTTGGACTAGGACCCTAGAGTTAGCCCTACGAACAAATGGAGATGTATTCTCTAGATTGGAGGAAGGTTACGTAAGACGCCTCCTGGACAGCGATACATCTCCAGGGCTACCTACACCTACGTACTATCAGCCTGTGAACATGTCCGATGTCGAGCACAATATACCAGCATCATCTGGTCTCCAATTAAATAAACGCAGCTGCTCACGTTGCAACCAAAGAAAAGTGCGATGTGATAAAGTATATCCCTGCAGCGCATGTGTCAAAGCAGAAGTGCAGTGCATCTTTCCAGGCCCAAAGAGAGCACGGCGGACATTAAATAGGCCACCAGTCAGTGAGTTACTCACTCGCTTAAAGCATCTTGAGCAAGAGGTCAAGCAACTCCGCTTAACGCGCTGCAACCCGGACACCGACCCTACACCGGACTTGGATGATCACCCGAATCTGCAAAAGACGGCCAAAAAGACTGATTTGCTGGTTCGTAAAGAGGGAAAGAGTCGGTATGTCAGTGACGAAGTTTCTGTTGCACTGGGACAACAGGTGGGACATGGTTACTACTGGTATTGTATAGGCGTCAACTAATTTATTGTGCAGATCTCTGAACTCCGTGATATTATTGAAAGCTCTTCAGACGATGAGCAATATTCACCCGGCCCAAATTACAGTCCCATTATCCTCTCCGAGGGTGGACTTCTTGGAACTGACAATTCCACCTGGTCTCTCGACTATTTTCGCCTGCATTATTGTCAACCAGCAAGGATTGATGCATTATGGAGAACATACCAAGAAAATGTGGCACCATTGATTGTCATACTTCACCGAGCCACAATGGGGAGGATTGTCCAAGACGCCTGTTCTGGCGTCGACTTATCCCCTTCGGATGAGGCACTGCTATTCTCTGTGTGTTATGCCGCGGTAGCCAGCATGAGAGCGCACATATGCCCTTCCATACTGGACATCGACCAAGATACAGCTATCCAAGACTGCAGACGAGCAGTGAGCCAGGCGCTTCGCCGAGCCAACTTCATCAGTTCTCAGAGCTTGTCTGCTCTCCAAGCGGCTGTTCTGTACTTGCTATGTTATCGAGTCGGTGGTGACACACGTCTTGTATGGGCCGAATCTGCCGTTGTGATACGAGTTGCACAAGCACAAGGCGTCCATCGCGATGGGCGGAATTTTGAATTACCACCATTAGAAACAGAGATGCGCCGTCGGTTATGGTGGCATATCTGCATGCTTGACATGTTGTCTTCGGGGGACCAAGGCGTCGATACCCAAATTAGACCTGAAATGTTCGACACCCAGTTTCCGAGTAATATCGACGATGATGCTATTGCCTTATATATGACGGATCAGCCACTGCCGAAGACTGGCTTCACAAATACCACCATCTGCATCATGAGCTGCCATATCATGACGGAAATACTCTGGCCGCGGCGGGGTGGATACTCGGATATGTCCACGCACGACCGCGAAAATCTCGTCACAGCTCTAGGGAAAGGCCTTCATGAACAGTATATCGATCATTTCAACCTGGACGTCCCAATTCATTGGGTGGTCGCAACTGTTGTGCGACTCCAACTATCCAAGGCCTGGCTGGCGACTCATTTCCAGCCCAAAGACTCGGACGTGAAGACCTTCCGCCACGACGACCGTGTCTTCGAGACGGCTGTCGAGCTTGCGCGGTTCTCCTACCTCCTGCATACCAATGAAGGAACGATGCAGTGGAGGTGGTTATGTACAAGCTTCAAGGAATGGCATGTGGTCGCTTTTATACTTTCGGAGCTCTGCTCGCGTCCACTCAGTCCCGAGACTGACCATGCTTGGGATGTCGTGACCAAAATATATAGGTCGTGGCAGCATGATATGCCGCGTACTGATGCTATACTTCAGAAGCCCTTGGATCGGCTCATGGCACGCACGGCCGCATCGCGAGCTAGCAGACAAGGGCAGGATGGCCAGGCACCATTCAGTCAAGAGGCTTTGTCCGATGCGTCTTTTGGATTGGGTGACTCAGATTTTGATCTGCTGTTTTCCGGTCTGGACTGGCTTTCTGGGTCCTTATTTTAGGTCATTATTCTACGCGGAGTGGTCTCTTTCTCTATCAACACATTAATTCTACAGTAACTAGTACTTTATGATATCAAACAGAAAACGACCTTCAACCCTAGCGTGTCTCAAATTGGCTATCCTCCTTCAACCAATCCCCAAATGTCTTCAACCCAGGATTCAACTTTTTCAAAGCTGGGATATCTGCACCATATCCCTCATCATGGAACCATTTGAACATGACACCGAACTCCTTGACGGCAGCCATCATTAACCAAACCGGAATTCTAAAAGTGGTCGGTACATTCTTGCCAGTCAACTTCTTGAAAGTCTCCGACATCTGATCAAACGTCAATTCATCCCCAGCAAGCGAGAAGGCACGATTCTTTGACTCCTCGGGATTCATAAATGCCGCCGCAGCAAAGAACCCAATGTCGCTCGTCGCGATCAATTGCAGAGGCTTGCCCTTCAGTGACATCTGCCACGCAGTCGTAAATACTTTCCCGAAGTAATCCAGCGTGAAGTTCTCAAAGAAGGCAACAGGACGGAGAATCGTCCATTCCATATCAGTCCCTTCTGCGTTCTCTTTAAGATGCTTCTCGATCTCGTGTTTGAAAATGAAATGCGGGACTGGGGTTGGGTTTTGGTCTGATTTCTCGCCACCGCGGTCGACAGAGCTGTACACGAAATACTTGACGCCTTGTTTGATAGACTCATCTATCAGAGCGATTCCCTGGCGTCTTTCGTCGTCGTTTCTGGGATTGGCAGTCTGTTTTATTGGTCAATTTGGGGTATATGTTTGCGATATTGTTCATTTCGAGGACTTACTTGGACACTGAACACACCCCAGACTCGCTTTGCATTCTTGAAGATGGCAGCCGGGTCGTCGAGGTTGCCTTGGATCAATGTGATACTCGAAGACTTCTGGGCGAGTCTCTTCGCTGAAGCGGAATTGACGTCGCGAGTCACGGCGAGGATCTTGAAAGGGGCATTTTTCTTCAGAAGGTTGTTAATTAGGGAGCCTCCCTGTTTCCCTGTGGCTCCGGTGACGAGAATTGAGGTCATTGTAGGTTAGTCTCGAAGGTAGTAAAGATGATAGACTGTGATTAATGATTAGTGCTAGGCAAAACGTCCTTTAAATAGTCAATTCAAGGGTATTGAAATGTAATTCGGCGTGATTCATAAGATTTATAAGATCTCGAGGTCTTCGGGGTTAATCTCAACCCCGGATTTGATATTGATATGACGTCACATATCATATCACGATCCAAGTCCATATAACCATATAAGACAATAAGACAATAAGTCACATCGTATTATTCACGGCAATGATACTCATTCCCCTATGAACTTCCGTGTCGGCAGCATTTAAAAACTCCCTTACTGTCATATCCAGCCCTTCCTCTCCCAACAAGTCCCCTTCCAATTCACCTCGCAATAATGGACCATTCATGCCCCCATTCAATTCCCAGACCTTCCCATCTTTCTTAACAAAAGCAATAAAATGAAATCCACATTCCTCCTGCGGCAAAGGTACAATCGAGCACCCCTCTGACGCCGCATCCATATGTGCCTCTTCCAGAAACCTCGAATCATACAAGAGCCGCGCCCTCTCCACTGGCCCCAGCCCAACCGCGCGCTTCACAATCTTCTCCAGTTCTGATCCAGCCAGGACATACTTCCCATTCTCCAAATTGATAACCACATGTAGCAATGCCATCAGCCCACACGCATGTCCGATCGTCTGCTTCATCCACAGCACGGGCTCGTCGGCCCCGCTGCCGAGATACTCGGGTATGCTGTGTTCGACGTGAGACCGCGCGGCGAGGTAGATGGGTCTGTCGCAGAGGAGAATGAGGGCGTTTACTGGTCGTGGGATCCAGGAGAGCATTTCTGGGGTGGTGGAGAGGATATCATGGAATGTGAGGCTCGGGGATACTCCGAGGTTCTTACATAGATGTGTGTGGACCTCTGGATTGTTCTCTGTTGCATTGGTAAGATTGGGTGATCTAGTCTGGGTCTGGTCTCTGGGCTTACCTAGTGGTATAAAGGTCTTTTGGCCGTTGATGACCTGCACGCCTAGATTAAACATGTTTGGAGATGACAAGACTCGTCTATTTACATCGTATGTTGGTATAAGCGGGGGAGAAACAGTGCTTAGTCATTCCCAGGCATCCAACGTCCAATGTTCAGGAAAGAACGAAGATACTCGATGGAGAATATTTGAGGAATATCTGTTTCATTCTGGGATTAGATGTATATAGCATGTTATATCAAGTAGGACCTGATGTATTATAGAGTGTGATATTCCGTTTCTTAGTGTAGCACATACATACATACCATTTAGGGCATCTATATCAAAAATATTTGAATCTGAACTTCACATCTTAAATGAATGGACTCAATAATCGAATCCAGAAATAACCAATATCTAATATCTAATAACCAATATTCAATACCCAAGAATCCCATAATCCCCATGTCTCGTCCTTTGCATAAAATCGCCTATCGCCTATCAGCGGATACAAGCTTCCCCTCATCTCCCCTCATCTCCCTCAAACATCTCTCTCTTCGTCTCATCATGGCTCACACAATAACAGCTCAGGAGCTGACAACCCTGTCTACTAAGGCCATTGACGCCAAGGCGACTGCTTACTGTATGGCAATTTCCCCCTAAAGCAGCACAATCACCAGGCACTCAGTTCCGAGTACATAGAAAAGAACACAAACTAACACCCTCTCAGGCCCATACTCCAAATTCCGCGTCGGAGCATGCATCCTCACAACGTCAGGCGAGTTCATTGCCGGCGCTAACGTCGAAAATGCCTCCTATCCAGTCGGAACATGTGCTGAGCGCGTGACTATTGGCACTGCTATTGTATGTTCTTTGTTCTCTTTCCCTGCTCTAACTCACCATGTGGTTGGGAATCTACTTCAGTTGTTCTCTATCATTGTCGTTGCGTTGTCATATGCACCAGCGCATGCCTAGACCTTTGCTAACTTCCACAGGTCGCCGGCCACAGAGATTTCAAGGCTCTGGCTGTCGCGACGGATATCAAGCCTGCTGCGTCGCCTTGTGGGATGTGTAGGCAATTGTGGGTTTCCTCCTCCTTCTCTTCTTCCCCTTCTTGTGGTTGACTCATTTGGATATAGTATTCGCGAGTTCACCTCGCCTTCTTTCCCCGTGTACATGTATGACGGGGAGGGAGATTATAAAGTCATGACTTTGGAGGAGGTGAGTTTCTTCTCTTTTTTCTCCTTCTTTTTGGATATATCTGTTTGGTATCTCTTCGGTTCTCTGCTGATGAACCTAGTTGCTGCCCGACTCTTTCGGCCCCGACCATCTTCAATAGGGATAGGTATGTTTACGGAGTTCATGGACATCAAAGAAAAGAGGGCGAGGGGATTGGAAGTATGAATTGGAGTCTGATATCCAGTGGGATTAAATTCATTTAAAGGTGTTCAAGGAAATATATTGAAAAAGTGAATCCTGCTTTGTTCAATGGGAGATTATAGCTTACAGCCCACGGCCCTAGAGAGCCCTACATATAGAAGCCAAAGGCCACAACCACAACGTACACAAACCGAAATCAGCAAGAAGAAAAAAGGCAAAAAAAGGTTGGCACGCTTATAATGTCGCAAGAGTCGAACCCCAAAAGATCATTTCCAACTGGAAACCCCAAAAAGGCAGCTATATCAAAATTCCAATACTAAACCCAAGCCTAAGCCTGGTCCTCCTCATCATCAAAATCATCAGCTCCAAGCAACTCATCCTCATCATCAACAACAGAAGAATAATCTCCCCTCCTCGCCGCAAATGAGCCACGCGTAGCATAAGGTCTCTGCGCTCCCCGTCGCCCAAACAACCCAGACAAGCTCCGCGCAAGACTCTTAACAAGTAAGGGCAGGGACTGCGCGACCGCAACAATACCCGCGATAATCGCCACAGGCACCGCGACCAGCACCGAGTCCCTGGATAACCAGCTCTGCGAGGTCCCGCCATCTCCCAGTCGGATCTGGCCGAATTTACCGTCCCAGTGCGTATACGCGTACCAGCCGACGGCGACGGCAACGGCGATGGGTGTCACGATGGCGAAGAAGAGACCTGTTCCGCTGATTCCATGCTTCTTTTGGTATTCTTCTTCTTTGTTTGGGCACGGTTTGGACACGTCTTGGTCTAGAAGGAGGCCGCCTTCGCAGGTGGTTTGTGGGATTCGGCGGTAGCCGGTTGGTTCCCAGTATTCAACCTTGTCAGGATCTTGCCTGCATTGTGCGATGTGATCTTGGGGTTGGAGACCTGGGACGAGGCCACAGCTGCCGTCGGTCTGAATTTCGTAGTTGTAATCGCTGGTTCGTGTTAGTCGGTTGTTTATATTGGGGATAGGTGGTCGTGTGTGCTTTTTGGCTTACCATTCGAAATCAGCACGGGTGCAAGTGCAGTTCCGCCCGATGCTGTGGATGTGCGGCTCACGCCAGGCATTCCAGCACTCAGCAGCAGGTTTCTTGCGGTGGTACTCCTCGACATGGCCGAAGATACAGTTCTCTTCCTGGAAGGGATGACTGGGGGCCCAGTTATAGTAATCGCTTTCATCGTCGTTACAGTCGCGGCTCCAAATACCGCTGAAGTCAAGCGTGATGGTGACACGCTTGCCGCCGTCCATGCCCCAGAGCAGGAAGTTCTTCGATGTATCGGACGGCACGGTGGAGATATCGTCGATGACCAGTTCCTTTTCAGCGAACTGGAACTCGTGCCAGCTCATACCTTCGTCGAGCGTGTAGTGTACGACCTTGGTTGCTTTCCGGTCACTGACCAGCACGATTACTGAGCCTGCCGCACCAAATTCCCACATGTACTGTCCCTTCTTGACTTGCGTCCAGGAGATGCCGCCATCCCTGGTGAGGTATGTGTCGGCTTCGGCTGCACTGGTGAGATGCTCACCGACGTTGCCGAGCGCGAGCATCAGGCCGATGGCAGAGCCCGAGTAGAGTGTATCGCGGTAATCGCGGCGTTCGGTGTAGCCGTGGAAATGGAGAGCGCATTTCTCGGTGCCCTTGCCCTCCGTAACGGAGCAGTCGAAGCTCTTGCCATCGACATCTTGACTCGGGGGAGCCAGAAGCATCCACTGACCACCGTCGTTGTGGGTGATCATAGTGCGGAGCTTCTTGGCCGCGCCCTTTTTCAACGCTTCTTCCCGATTCGAAACCACATTGGCAATGGCCACGCCTTCGAGGCCTTGTAATTCATCGTAATCCGTGTAACCGCGGTCATTGACGTTGAGCCCCTCGAGACTCTGGACGAAATAGGTGCCGTTGCTGTTACTCTTGACTAAGGAGCCGAAGCTGCGTTCACCTCCCCCGTTCACCATCACAAGGAGGAACAATGCGTGCGGGGAGCTAGGTAGGACGGTATACTGAGGGACCTTAATGTTGAAAGGGAAGTGTGCGTTAGCGTAAGTGCGGCCGTCGACGCTAACGCTGGCATTCAGGTATTCCTTCTGGTCTCCTTCGTACCAGGCGACGACCTCGAAACCATTCTTGGTAGCGGAACGCGCGATATTCTCGAACTTGACATCCATGGTAGAGAAATAATCATCACTGATGACCAACTGCCGGTGATTGTTCTTTTCCTCATCTTTATACTGCTCGCAAATCACCAGCTTTTCACTGTTGTTGCGGCCCTCTTGATATCCGAAGTTACAACCGCCGTTGGCAACTCCAATAAGCATCGGCTCCCAACTAGCGCCTCGCTTGTCGGTGACGTACGCCTGCGAGCGACAGCTCCTCCCCTCACAGTCCTTGTGACCAATCCAGATAAGGGAATCCTGAAACTTCTCATGGAAAGCGAGTGCGCGAATGTCCTCCTTGGTCGGCACACTGGGAGCGTCAAAGAAGTGGAAGGAATCACCGTGATTGATGGTGTAGTACACCCTCTTGCTGTCGGTGAGGAAGAAAGCCGCATCACTGAAGTAAGGATGCTGAACCATTTCGGTAAACTTCTCATCCGGGTGGATTTGCTTCCAGTTCCGGCCATGGTCGCGCGAGATATGCAGCTCGTGTTTGTCAGTGAGCATCATGATAGTCTCATCGACGCCGTTGTTACTGGCCTGTCGTTCGAGATAGAAGTAATTTGTCTGCTTGGCAGAGATGGTCTGTGGCTTTCCCGCACGAGGCTTGCCATCGGTGATGAGAGGAGGCCCCGTGACATTCGAGCAGGAGCGCTCAATGTCGCGCTCGAGATCCTCGCCACCTTCACGGATGCATGCGTTGCCGGGGATGAGTCGCCATCCCGAGGGCCCCATGTACTTATCACTGGGCTCATTGCACTCGCCAGCCGGGGGTGTCAGCGGGACAGCCGGTACACATTCCTTGCGGTCCTCGCTGCGAACAAAGTTGTAGTCGCATTCGAAGTCTTCAGCGGAACACTTGCAGGGTTTGAATTCAGGGCCGCTGATGGCAAACTCCTTCTTGATGAAGCAATCTGCATTTGCCTTGCGGCGTTGGAAGAACTGTTTCTGACCCATCAGACAATCCGGCTCGCCCTTTTCATTTAAACGGGCAGTCCACTCTTCAAGGTCTCCAGATCCACACTCGCGCTCGTGGAGGCCATCGAAGTCGATGAAAAACATGAGGACTTTGGTGTCATCACTGGAAATTCCAACGAGCAGGAACTTGAGGCTGGTTGAATCCGGCGTTGAGATCAGGAACAGAGGCCTGATTTTCTGCCCCAGAGAAATTGACTCCCACTCTTTCCCGTGGTCGATAGAAAATTGGAACTTGTCCGTCTGGCTGCTATCCAAGACGGCCATGATCACACCTCCCTGGTCGCCAAACTCGTACCGGTGCGGGCCCTTGAGCGCGCGACGCCAGGTAAGACCCGCGTTGTCTGAAACATAGAGATCACCCTTGGAATAGTCCTCGAGATGACCTCCAGTGTTACCAACGCCCATGACCAAGCCCGGAGCCGGGCTTGAGAACATCCGGTGATCTGGCAAGGGCATCTCATGCAGCGCGGCGTAGGTGGTCATCGAATGGAGGTGTAGCTCGTCTTTATCAGCCTTGAGAGGTTGGAATGTTCTCCCATCGTCAAAACTGATACTGCTGATAAGCTTCTTTTTATTCGAGTCAGACTTCTTAGCTTCCTCCCAGTTCTTGACAGTGTTGACGATCGTGATACCATGAATCCCGGTGACTTTCTCAAAATCGATCAAGCCATTCAGGTCCTCGTTCGTATGCTCGATATTTTGCGTAAAGTAGGTGCCATTGGAGTTGGACGAGAAAAGAGTTCCCATCCGGTTATCATGCCATGTAGATTGCACGTCAATCTGGATGCTATAGTTGGTGCTTTCTAAGATAGTATAGGCATCCTCTTCAATGCGGTTCTTGCCAAACTCCGCGCGATGCCACACATTCGAGTCATCACTGACGTACAAAGCCTGCTCCTGCGTGCCACGCGATTGAAGGCGCGCCACGATGTACTTGGACACAGAGCGGATCTGAAGACTGATACCGCTCAGCGGTTTTCCATGGTCCAATTTCGCCTCGGTACCCTCCGCATCATCTTTGTAAAAGTTGTCTGAATATATCAACCGCTCTGTACGGGTATGCTCGAACGGCCCCTTCAACCCAGGGACCACGCAGAGGATCCGATCTCCTGTCGACTTCGGCATGTCTATGTCCAACGCGAACTGCGGGCGGCTCGCGGCCCACATACACTGGAGTGTCATCTCGCGCAATGGCTTAACAGTCTCAAAGTCATCGATGGTATAATACGCCTGGGGCATGCAGCCAAGGATGGTGCAGTCCAGACCCATGAAGATGACCTTCTTCGGATCCCAGCCATTGAACTCCAATGGGAATGAGCGCATCGACGCGAACGGCAGCACGTCCACCTGGAAGGGTTTCCACGACTTGGCCTGGTCGGTCGTGACCCAGTGCTTGCCATTCTCGCCGAGGATGTACGCGCGGTTGGCGTCGAACGGATGTCTCCAGATCAACTCAACGGTGCCTTCTATGGTTCCATCGTTGCCTTTCACAGTCTCCCATTTCTCGCCACCATCGAATGAGACATGCGCGGTGAGGGAATTCTTATCACGGTAGAGGATGGTGTTTGTGCCGTGGAAGTAGAACAGGTCTGCGGGCGGAGCGTTGAGTTCATGGGTCACGATGTTCGGCTCGTTTCCCTTTGCTGCTGCTGGATGCGAGGCCCATACCAGCAGCAGACTCAGTGCGAGCAGCAGCCACCGTGGGATCATGACTGGTGCTGCGTAGGCATCTGATAGGGTGTGCGGGTGGGAGTTTGAGCGGACCGGACCGGGAATACGGGGTCAATCGATGGAGGGAAGGAAAATAAAGTCGCTGGAAAAGAAAGGATTGTTAGAGGCCAGCAACGAATGAATAGACAGGTAGAAATGTCGTTAGTTAGGATAGTGATGCTGATGACGGAGCTGCGTGGCCTCTGCCTTGGGATGAAGCTCTCTGTCACGTGAATTGCTTATCGGTCCTATGGTCCTATCGACTGAACCTTGGTTACAAACAAGTCTACTGGCAGCGAACCATGGATGATAGCACGCAATTGGGACTAGTCTGTTGGTCTACAACACCCCCTGAAGGTGGAAAATGTGGTCTGTTGAATCAATTGACATGAAGCAGCCGGTCATATGTACAAAAACCTGCTAAATAGGTACATAAAGATGTCGAGAACCCCAGTATAGAAAATAAAGCACCGCTCAAAATGCAAGGATCGAATATCCTGAAATGACGTTCGGAATGGTATAGAACGAAAATGAGTTCGCGCTAAACGAACAACAAGACCCCTCGGCTCGAGGAATAAATCGAGGAATATTAAACATAAAACGAATGGAAGTCAATCAAAGTCGATCGAGACATTTAAATCAAACTCGGCGTCGCAGCTTGCGCCACATTTTTTTCACCATACCTTGCTCGTCCAAGTCCGAGTCCCAGATAGACTGGCTGCGATCCGCGGGTGGAAGTTCGGCCAATCGTAAGGGATCTTCCTTTTCTTTGGAAGAAGCAGGAGGTGTGGGAGAGTCGGTGCGGAGGTCAGGCCGAGTAAGGGTCATTTTGAGAGTCATCTCACGGTTTCCCGGAAGCCGTTGTGGGACCCCCTTAGCCCCAGGCAACCAGGATTGGCGGCGCTGGAAGAGAGCTGATGATTCCATGGAGGGTCGGGGCGCGTCCCGCTGTGTGAGAACGGGCGAACGGATTGGTTCATTTTCTACGGATCCTCCTGGGCTCCCCACCATGGTACCATCGTCATCTTCGAAGAATGTGCCGAAGTCCCAGTCGACCAGGGTGGATTTTGGTGAGCTTGGTCTCGGTGTGGTTGGTTCTGGGCCGATGTTCTCCTTATCGTTTTGATCCAGCGAGGGAAATCCGAATTCAATGGCTTCGTCGAACTTTTGTGGGGATGCCAGGTAGACGCGCAATTTTAAACGGGCATCGGGGTCTTGGTAATATTGTGCACAGGGGTCGATGCTCGAGGTGGATGATTTGGGGGCATGTTGGAATCGGTGGTTGGATGATGGGCGCGATTCGGGGATTCGGTTGGAGAGAGGGTTTAGAGGCTGAGATTGGCTAACAGGTGGGAGTCCCCGAGCTGAAATAGGTGTAATTTCTAATGTTTTGCGAAGGTGGTTGGAAAAGGATAGGGAGCGGCGGAAAGAGGGGCGGTTTCTCTTTTTCGTGGCAGCATCTGCCACATGGGCGTGGTATTCATCGAGAGACAAGTCAAGATCGCCATCCTCGTCGAGCCACCGGAAACTGTCATGGAATGTTTGATCCATGTCCGAGTCTTCTTCGTCGGAGTCGGAGTCTGAATAGAAGGCGGTCGATAGTTGAACAACAGGCACAGTCGCCTGGGAAGAATGAGTGTCAGTGGAAGGGCGAGATTTCCTGGAATCTCGACCGGAATCTCGACGGTAAGCTTCGTCGGCAGCGTCGTATATGAGACTTTGTCGATAAGCGTTCCTCAAACGTCGACGTTCCTCGGGGGAGAAAAGCTTTTGTTGGATCTTAGCAGGGAGAGAATGGAAGCATTGAGAGTCCGCCTGGGCGGCCAGGTAGGCCAATTGAAGAGAGCCGGGTTTGCGTAATTTCTTAGAAGGAGAAGAACGTTTCTCGAGCCCTCGCTTCCTAGATCTGTTCCGTATACCACGAGAGTCAGACCCAAGACGAGGGGCTCGATAGACCCGATTATCGGTCTGATAGTTTGACGTGGAGCAGGTAGGGGAACCGTGATCGCTCTGGGCTAGCCGGATGCGCAAACGCTCGACATTCGAGAAGAACTGTTCGAGTCAGTTGTGGACATTGAACAGCAATGGATTGGCAATACGGAGGGGGTGAAGTGGAGCAAATAACATCCCATGCGCTAACATTGACCAGTGTTGGCCAATGTTAGCCAATGTTACGAGATAACGAGTGGGCGCCACGAACGATAGTGCGGGTTGTCAGCCTCCACCGAGGGGGTTCAGGGGTAAATCACAATCACATTCAATCATAGAGAAAGGGCAGACAAAGGACAAAGGAAAGGGAAAAACGGAGAAAACGGGCAAATCAATCCCGATTGGGTTAAGATGATCTTCTGTGGAGGGAGCTATTGAGGAGGGAAATGAGAAGTCCGAGCGCGTGAGGAGAGGGAGAGGGAGACCAGGGAGAGTCCAGAGAAGGAGGAAATGAGCAATCAACCCTTACCTTTCTTCTCACTGCTGGAGGCAGTGACTCAAAGTCTTCTGACATTGTGTAGAATATAGAAATAGAGAGAAATAGAGAAATAGAGAAATAGAGAGGATTGGAATAATAGAAATAACGAGTCCAAGTATAAGTATACCAAGTAGTATACCAAGTAGTATACTGCAATAATTCAATAGGACCAAAACAGAAACTAGAAAATCGAAAGAGGAGATCTACTCAAATATATATACGGAGTACTTCAGATAGATATCTTTTTAAACTTCTTTGATCTGTGACTATGCTGTACATTAGCGCCTTATGATTGTGATACTTCGATTTCCCACTGACTACAACATATGTATAGTCCGTATTCTTCTATACATACATTACCCCTCCTCTATATGATCTATCATGAACCCCTCTATTGTCTCCTGCGAATTTTCAAACGAACTCTCGATCGTATTCCAAACCGTATGAGTTCATCCATATCTCCATCCAAGTCAAGTCAGTCAAGCCAAGTCACTACGCGCCTCGCTTTGACGTGGCGCCAGTAAGGAGATCATACTCAGCTCCACTTAGATCGCTGATTTTCAGTCTGAAACACACATATCCTACTCAGTAGACTAGGGTGAAATCTACTCCGTAGAAATTTGGAAAATGTAAACGCCTTTGCGCTCTTCCTTGTCCCCTGTCTCTATTTTCCCAATATTTGGGTATCGGGTTTGTCGAGGAAGATACGAGAAGGGGAAAAAGTGATGTATCAAATATCTTCATGTCCAATGAGAACACTCTGTGATGGCCCACTTGGACAAAAAACAGTGCGGTGCCCGACTTGGCATATTGACTACTCCGTACTCTAACTGACTATACGGAGTATTCTGGTACTAATGTTACACTATTTCGTACCTGACAGCTCATATAATCATCTATAGCAAACTCAACTAAATTAAAAGTAGTTGAGACTATAATCCGGAGATTAATGATTTGCTTTTAGGTGAATATAATTAATTCAATTATATTATTCCGACAGTAGCACTTGCATAATGATCTACATATATTGGGAACCTTGGAAAGTACTCCCTATGGATTAATAAAATACAGCTAATAGCCTTTGACCTGTAAGATTGACAATGTTGAGATATAATAAAACACTTCTGCCACGGAATATCTCCATATTAACGGCTTCAAATCCCTTTTCTCCTTGCATCGGGCTAATGCATAAAACTTCGATTGCAGACAAACGAGGCCCCTTCCGGACTCGTGGCACGTCGAGGCAAAATCGGGCTTTCAGGCGTGATCTATATGATCTATCATCTGCGAGTGCTATTTTATGATCTGTGATGCAAACGCGTGGGATGTCCACCGTTCATACTTCACAGAGTACGGAGTAGGAGTGGTTCTTTCGGTGAGCTTCAAGGAGGATACGAGGTATTTGATGCAAGTGCCCGTGTTGGCGATGCAGTCCACGGCCGTAATATCTACTCCAGGCCCATGTCAGGGGGATTATCCTAATGCGAATGTAGTACGGAGTAAGCAATCCATGGATGATACTAGATTGAACCAGATAATACCATATCTTGCCGTTGGATGATAATTACCGGTCTTCATCGCGTAGCGCCAGGCAACGCTGGTCAGTATCAAATGAGAGAGTTTCAGGTATGCCAACTATAGACGAGAAAAGAGTGGAAGAAGTTATCAAATGATTTGCAAGCGCATATGCACTACTCTATACATGTACAATTCTATAATATAATTACATCTATATTTACTTATATTCAAACCCATCCACCCTTTTCAGACTCCTCCGTCATCTTCCTCTTCCCAGCCTGAACCTTCGTAAGCGTTAACTTCCTCCCGACGCCTCTCCCCAGAGCACCATCAAGCGGAATAACATCATCCTCAACCGACGTCCTCCTCGAATTCGACTCCTTTTCAAGACTGAGAATCACCTCAACTGCATCCCGGTCCTCAATGACCTTCGGATGCCGCTGCGCAAAGTATCGCGCATACTTGTACAGCGACCAGTAGCAACTGAACACGTTGACGACCGTCAGCGCGATCTTGTAGAAAGTGTAGTAGAACAACAGGACTTTCCAGTCTACGCGCTCTTTCTTTAACCGGAGGTGGATCTCGTTGAAGATTATCACGTTGAGGATGTACATCGCGATCGTGACGCCGAGTAGCATTCCGCAGAATGAGGGGCGGACTATGAATGAGATTGGGAGGATGAAGGGGGCGAAGAGGTAGATGAGGGTTTCGTAGACCTGAGGGTGTTAGTGTTAGTCTGCATAGCTTTTGACCTTGATATCGACATATATCAAATGTCGAAGATGATGGGATGTTTGTCATACCTCTTGAAAAACGCACAATTTTGCACCAAACTCCCACCAACCCAACTTCCAGCTAGTCAAGATATACTTTAAATCGTAGTACACACCAACCACAAAGAAGAAATTCCACCGCTTAAACCGCTGTTGGAAGATAGTCATCTCGCCGAATCCGCCACGACTACCACCAGAACCACTCCAGAACACGGAAGCCGGCGTCTCGGTTTCGACGAAGACCTGCGAGCACATAGTAATGCGTCCACCCAGACGCCGACACGCATCACCGAAGAACCAATCCTCTGACACAGAGAAACCGGGATGTTCATGGAATGTCTGTTTTAGGAACTCAATATTCCAGAGCGAGATAGCTCCGTGGGGGAATGTGGCGCTTCCGAATTTCCCAAAGAAAGCACGTTGGATACCGGACATTTTGTACTCGAGGTCCTGGGCTTGTTGGCAGAATGTACCCTTTGAGGAATTGGGGCCGACACTTTTAATTGTGTATCCGATGCATTTGACGTTGTTTTTGAGTCTGTCGCTGACGATTGGGAAGTTTGGGGGGAGGAGACAGTCGTCGTCGATTAGGACGGCATTTTCGAAGTCTTTGGCTGCATAGCAGCCAACGAACTGCGCCACGATCTTCGAGCCGATGGGTACCCAGAGGTGGTTTACACCGTAGGGTTTGCAGACTTCTTCTGTGTTGTCGAGGGGAGTTTTAGAGTTGCCATTTGCTATGACGAAGATGTTCTCTTTGGGGAAGATTTTTAAGGCGGCTTCGAGGGTTGCGCCGACGATTGATGCTGATTTATAGCAGGGGATGAGGAGAGCAGTGGATTTCACCTTGGAGATGTTGTTCTCCAGGTCTGGAGATTCGGTTTCTGACTCCGGGGCAGGAGGATCTTTCTCGAAGAGGATCATAAGAGGACAGAATGCATATCTGGTTCGGTTAGGGCAAGAAACTCGGGATCTCGAGAGAACACTTACAATGCAGCCAGACCAATGATAATTGCATATCCTCCTTGGATAACGAACTTGGTTCGGACAACATAATACAACCACCAGACAGCACCTTTCCACAATGGCATCCCAACGAGGACGAAGTAAACGAACAGAACGAGGAATGCATAGATGGTGTATTCAAACAATAACCGCACCCAATGCTTTCGTTGGATAGCGACGCCTCTCAATTTGGCCTTTTCATAGACTTCTTGCAGGTGACTCTGCTCGCTGCTGATTGTTTGAGAGCTGGTTTTACTGGGTGGTTGAGCACTGAGGACTGCATTCTGAACTGGTGTTATTCCTTTCTCGGGGATTGGAGAGGGGGGCTCAAACGTGGCGGGCTTTTCAAAGTAGTCGAATGTACCTAAATAATGAGATGGGATTAGCTGACGTATATAAGATGTTGCCATCAATTTGATACGATCTCTCATGTATCTCTAGTCTCTGCCATAGATACGAGATATCAATTTCATACCCTGAAAAGCAGGAGGATCACTGCGTCCACGAGACCGAATTGCAGACTTTGGTCTTGCCACTGATCGCAGAGCAGAAAGACTCAGAGGACGATTGGAAGAGGTGCGAGGCTCTGGAAGTGATATACGGTTGTTGTCCGGGAGAGACTGTTCCCATCGAGCCAATTCCCATGGCGAGTTGAATTTGGCAGTCGTGAGTAGTTCTTTGGGGATGAAGACATCTTCCACAATGGACTTTCTATGGCTTTCTTCAGCCATTGGGGGTATATATATGTTCAATTTGCAACCATAAGCGAGGGTATAGTAGTCAAAGAAGGGACGGCAACCCCACCAGTGAAAGAGTGAATATCTACGGAAGGGGATTCGAGGGTGTTTCTTTTATTTATTGGAGAAGCCTTTCTACTCACGATCTCTATGGAGTAAATCTCTTGAGACTGTGGGCCAAGGTTGGGTGGCGCCTTCGTTTGTGAGACTAGATCTGATGGGGCATACTAGTACAGCTCGGACCTGAGAGGACTTGGAAAGGAAATGAGGATGATGCTTGCAATTATCATTATTCTCGACTCAGAGAGACACTCGAGGTATATGCAGTATAGTATCATGGTATCCTTTCCAAGGTCTTTGTGTCTTTGTGTCTACGATGTACTGCAGAATGTTTTCAGAGAATGCAGGAACCATCTACGGAGTACGGAGTAGTGCGAGAAGAACCATAAATATGGAGATGGCTATGAATAAACCAATACGGGTCCTGAATGGAGTCCGTTCCGGACGCCCCAGGCCTACCGCGGACCAACTGAATCATTTTTGGGCCCATGTCTTTTACATAAATGCCCATATAGTTCTTGTAGAATAGCTATTGCTTAGAGAATCTTCAATTGTAAATTGCCATAGCAGACTACAATAGCAGAGCATCTCAATGCTTGCACAAGCGAAGCCTCAAGTTGCTCCATCCTCTTCGGGTGCTCGGAGAAGTTGCGCAGTGGAGTACTCAGAGATTTTAGCCTTGTGCAGATGAAGAGCCGAACCACAGAGATCTAGCGCAGTGATCGCCCATGGTTTCTTCCTAGCCGGGAGAACTAAACTTAGTTGCATCTCACCTCCAATTGCTTTGTCTCTGGTAAGTCGATGGTACCTGATGTCGTAATTATAACTGGGGATCTGTGGAAACGAACTGCCGTAGGTGTATACGTTCCTCCCCCTTGACCTTTTAAGTTGGGCACTGAACTGGATGAGCACATAAAATTCTTCGAAGGTTGCAATTTCCATATATTGCAAATAGTAAAAAAGAAAAATGCGGATGAAGCGGAAAAAGGCCCAAAAAGTCAAGATTTTGGCGAATCGAACCTTCCAAGGTTGGAAGTTCACCGGTAGAGTTTCGGCCCGCCCTTTTTTTTTCAAGGTTTTCAGCCACAGCCCAGCCGCAAACTTTGAGGAAAAGAGAAAAAGCGGAAGCCTAGGTAATTCGGATTTTCTTTCTTTTGTTATATCCAGGTTAGGATAGTTGGCCGAGTGTGATTTCAACATTCACATTGTTCTTGTTAGTTCACTCCGCTTAAACGGGTAATATGATTCCATATTCTCATAGTTCTAGCCAAGCTCTAGCCCTGTCGGTTAGAAGCCGGATTGACACTTCAAAAAATGCTGATCAAGGATGATCAATTTGTTAGGGCAACAGGGTTAGCCATTGGCAATGCAGTCATTGATGTTTACTCCGTACAGATGTAAATCTGCCATGTTGGCAGCCAAAACAGGATCAAAACTGGAACAGAATAAGATTACATCCTGATACTGGACCATGGTACAGGTCTCAAATTCAGGGCAAGATGAACCACGTGGGTCCAGGTCCAGTTTTAGCCCCGTAACCACCTTACCTAGGTAGGAAAGTAGTATGTGACCCAAGGTTACTTTCACCGGCTTATTCCATAGTTACTTTACATTCTTTTAGTGTATGTGGATCTATAGAGACGATACACATAGAATTTGGATAGATATGCTGTGAAAATGCAGATTTACCATAGAACGAACTAGTAGATCGAGAGACCAAGGAATATAGTATGCAAAAGAAATAACAGGGAGAAGCGATCTATGTTAGTGACATAGTCACAAAAAGCAATATAAGAAACAGCAGAAACAGAAAAGTGTCAAAGCAAAGGAAACGCAAAGGGCAGATAGCTGAAGCTGCGAGAGGTCATTTTCGTCGGATGACCAGGAATCGAACTCGCTCAACGCCAGGACACCACACACACAGGATCAATGAGCCCCGAATTGCCAACTAGCGATACAGGATTCGCACACGTGGGCTGGGTGATGTCACCAATGGCCGGCCCGGGTATCTTTGTATCCTCTTAACGATGCGCCTGTCATGGATAACCCAGTGGAAGGCTCACCGCCATGCCGGTTACCCTGCTTCCGTCGCAAGGCCAGCAGGAAAGATGCCCGGTACGAATCCCGGGGTTGGCATTTCACTCGTGCGAGTAATCCACGACGCTGGAGGCCACCAAGCAACATGACCTGCAGTTATCCAAGTGCAATCGAAGCCTACCAGAGGGGTTGTGTGACCTTCTCAGGAGACTCGGGCCAACCACATATGATCGACTAAGCCTCTGCAATAGTTGGAGCGAAAGGTCCGGACACTGGAGAATGCACGGATTCGAAAGAGGGAAACCACTATGACTAGCGCGATGGAATGGACTAGGTAGGGGTGTTGCTGCAATCGCCCAAGTGGATGATTCTGGATGCGCCATTTCCAATAGCATGTTGCGAAGCAAACAGGGCTTCCATTCCATTCCTTATTGCTTTTTTCAGTTGATGGCACGTTGCTTCCAGTTCTCCGGATCCGCTCTTGTAGCGGCCGTCCAGAGTTCTGTCTGGCATGGGCACAGGCTACCCAGACTTCTGTGCCTCCAAGTATATGGATCGGTTTCTCCGCAGTGCTGTTTTCCGGCTCCCCAAGTAGCTTCCTTGCTACCTGCTTGCGTTATGTTATAGCCGATGCCTTCTTTGATAAGTAGGATATTCTCTATCCTTCTAGTTCCCTGTAAGTGACATCTCGGTGCTCTCGCTCGATGAGCGGTAAGTGAAGCCTTCTTTTGCTCCTGACATCGCGCGCAGTTACCGTCCCGGTAGCCCCGCATACGAACCATTCGAGTCTGGAATCGAGAAACCTCCGAAGAAGCAGCGAGGCTATAATCACGAGTGTAGTCTGCCCTAGACTTGAGAATATCGGCTATAAATGCCCACAGCTCAACATGTTTGAGGTGTCGAATTGCCCCTAGCTTTTGTTATGACTTATTAATAGGGATAAATATATATAGTGGTCCGGAAGGGCAGCGCGTCCCATGGATGTGTCAATGTGCCTCAACAGATGAACCCTTTTGTCTTGGGTATTCTTCAAGATCCCATGGAAGGTGCCTGGGCCCAACTCTGTTGAGTGTGGCACCAGAAAACGATATATGAGGCCTTCTCCGAAATAAGTATGGACGCGAGCATAGTGCAAGATTTGAAGACCCAGAGATCTAGAACACTCTCCTACCTTCGATGCTCTCTTTCTTGCCTATTCAAACGTTGAGCAGCCGAGGCCGGGTAGGAGCGTTTCAAGGACGACTCAACCCAGCCAAGTGTCTGTCACACGTCGCTGGGCGATTTCCCCTACCGGACTTGGGTAAGATTGTCTTGCGGATCCTTTCAGCCCTGGAGGGGGTTGCTAAAGAACGAGGGGATTTGAGAATCGTGGGGAGCTTCGGCCAGAACCGTCCCCCTCCCCTCCCCCAAAAGCAGTCTCCAGCCCAAGAGGTTGAGAATATCACTGGAGGTGACAATACCTGCATCAGCACAGGCAACGAGACTGAGCTATGACCTTGATTTGGTGGGCTTGAGTACCGGAGTCATCACGGTGGTTCTGTGCTCCATGAAGCCCTGTGCCTTTTAGCCTTTTATCATGGCCCCCATCTACACTCTGCAGATGATCCGTTATACCTGAAATCGCCGGGGAAATGTCCAAGTATACCAGACCGATTGGATCAGGATCTCGGTGGGATGACTCGCAGGTTGTCATGCTGATGTGTATGCTCCTGGTGTGTGGGTTTTTAGTTGGTCACCAACATAGATTGGTCTACCTTGAAGATGGTCAACAATAACTCTTCGTGAACATACATAGGGAGTGCCAAACCTACCTTTTTACTCGAGGCGACGTTATGAGAAGATCTAGCCCTGACTGAGGAAGGGCACAACGACTCTGCTCTGAACCGTCCTACCAGACCTCTTTTGTCCCCTCCTGTTAGAATAAAGAACTTAGCAGTCAATCCCGAAAGAGCCGGGAACACACTAAGATGTTACACAGGGCTTTGCCCTTCTCTGCGCTCTTGGTGTCTTTCCGATCCTTCGAATCCACATAGTCATGTCCATCTTGAGCTTCTTGCTTTGGGCTGCCTTCTCTTTTTGATTCCGTTTGTCCTTAATAGAGAAGAAGTGTTAGCGATGATCATTCGGAAGAGGACGGATCAAGACCATCAAGACTACACGTACTTTGGCAAGGTTCGAATATGGCCCTTGACCATGGAGATGTTCGACTTCGTTGAACTCATTCAGCTCTGCTGGGTCCCTGTCGCAAATGAACTCATTATGTGAACGATTGTCGGTTGATTGAAGATGTACAATGCAGCATACCATGATGCCCCAACTAGCAACAGTCTTTCCGTTGCGGGCTGGTCGATATCAGGATGCCATGTTAACACCCGGCTTTTGTGTTACCGGGACAGCCAGGCTTGTAGATACAAAACCATGCAGATAGCCAGCAGTGGAGTACATGTTGAGTAATGCGCTGACACCCGCCATCAACAGGATTCTGTATTGGGGAGCGGCATCGGGATATGCCAACACCCAGAATGCCACCACCAGGATTTTGTGGGGATGTTACGGGACGGGCCATGGCAGAGGAGCGACAACAAGAAAGTCTGGGAAGAGGTGGAAGGGATTTTATGACCTCTAGAAGGGGGTTGGCATGTTGCGGATGTTCTACACAGGCCTTTCCGGAAGACGCCGTGCGACACGCGACAGGGCCTGTCGCATCAGTGCCTAGACGGTGCCGACCTGATATACAGGAAGTTCTAGGTACATGTATCTCTTTGTATTGATCAAAGCAATCATAGAGATGCAATATATCAAGAGAAAGTAGTACCAATGCATGCATTATCATTACGCCGGTCTATATATCCCCCAGTAGAAACAACACGCTCCCACCAAATCAAAAACAGGGTATA